TTTATAAATCTCATTATTGAAAGTATGTCTCTTGATTGGAAAGTTAATTATACGTGTGTGTGAATATATATATATAATTTTCTTAAATAGAAAGACATTAATGTTATTTTATTATTTTATTTGATTCTTGTATCTTTCTTCCTCATTTCCTCTCTTTCTAGTCTTCTTTTGTGTCTTTTTAATTTCTGTATTAACATGCTTTCACTTTCTTATTTTCTTTCATGTATCTATACAGATATTTTCTTTGTGTTACCTGGGGATTACATAAAACCTCTAAAAGATACAACAATATACTTTAATCTTATTAAAAAATAGCTTTCGTTGCAAGCAAGTATTCCATGTTACATTTGCTCTCATTTATTTATATTACTAATTATATCTTTTTATGTTGTACATATATTAACAGCTGTTGATAAAAATTTCTATGCTTTTATAAATATTAAAGAATAATTTAAATTTTCTTGCACTATCATGATAATGCTAAGGAATTCAATTTTTTTGTATGTGCATACTTTCCAGAACAATGTATTTGCAAATAATTAAGTGTTGCTTTTTGAATCATGTTATTTTCAGTGAAAGAAATTCATTTTATCATCTTTGATATATGGAACACATGCTGTGTCAATATACTTTCTCAGAATTTAGTTATTTTGGAAGGTTTTTTTTAAATTTTAATTTTTGTAGAACAGTTTTGCTGTTGGTATTATTCTCACTTAACAGATTTTTTTTTGAGGACTTTAACTGTAACACAGAGTTTTCTTCTGGCCTGCAAATTTTTTGACAAATTCGCTGGTTATCTTATAAGACTATGCTTGTAAATGACACATTACTTTTCTCTTGCAGCACCCAAGATTTTCTTTTCATCCGTGACTTTTGAAATTGTATTTATATATGTGTTTGTTATAAATATCTATGTGCATATCCCAGTTTGTTTTATTGAGCTTCTACCCTTTTTATTTCCAGCTATTTTGTATATTTTTAGATTAATTTATTTACTTTAGGTGCATACTGTATCTGGCATTTCTCCCACATTATCCCTCCCCACCCTCCCCTCCCTCCCCACCCCGCACTGTCTCTTCCTACCCCCCTCAACTGCCCCCAGTGTGTGATACACCTCTCCCTGAGTCCACGTGTTCTTGTTGTTCAACACCCACCTATGAGTGAGAACATACGGTGTTTGGCTTTCTGTTCTTCTGTTAGTTTGCTGAGAATGATGGTTTCCAGATTCATCCAAGTCCCTACAAAGGACACAAACTTGTTTTTTTATGGCTGTGTAGTATTCCATGGTGTATATGTACCACGTTTTCTTTGTCCAATCTATCACTGATGGGCATTTGGGTTGATTCTATGGAAGTCTAGTCTTTCTTTTTTTTTTGAGACAGAGTTTCCAGTCAACACTCAGAAACAAGTTGTTCAGTTTCCAAGTTTGTGTGTGTTTGTTGATCCTGAGCCCTAGTCTAACTGCGCTGTGGTCTAATAGACTGTTATGATTTCTGTTCTTTGCATTTGCCGAGGAGTGATTTGCTTCCAATGATGTGGTCAGTTTTAGAGTATGGGCAATGTGGTGCTGAGAAAAATGTATATTCTGTGGATTTGGGGTGGAGCATTCTGTATATGTGTATTAGGTCCACTTGGTCCAGCTCTGCATTCAAGTCCTGGATATCCTTGTTAATTTTCTGTCTCATTGATCTAATATTGACAGTGGAGTGTTGAAGTCTCCCACTATTATTGTGTGGGAGTCTAAATCTCATTTTAGGTCATTAAGAACTTCCTTTAAGTATCTGGGTGCTCCTGTGTTGGGTGCATATATATTTAGGATACTTAGCTCTTCCTGTTGGATTGATCCTTTTACCATTATGTAATGTCCTTCTTTGTCCCTTTTGATCTTTGTTGGTTTGAAGTCCATTTTATCAGAAACTAGGATTGCAACCCCTGCTTTTTTTGTTCTCCATTTGCTTGGTAAATCTTCTTCCATCCCTTTATTTTGAGTCTATGAGTGTCTTTGTATGTGAGATGGGTTTCCTGAATACAGCACACTGATGGGTTCTGACTTTTTATCCAGTTTGCCAGTCTGTGTCTTTTGATTGGGGCGTTTAGGCCATTTACATTCAATGTTAATATTGTTATGTGTGGATTTGATTCTGCCATTTTGTTACTGGCTGGTTTTCTTTCCCATTAGTTGCCTCATTTTTTTCATTGCATTTTTGGTCTTTGTCCACTGGTTTGCTTTTGCAGTGACTAGCTCCTGTTCCTTTCTGTGCTTATTGTTTCTTTCAGGAGCTCTTTTAGGGCAGGTGTGGTGGTGACAAAATCTCTCAATAATTGCTTGTCCATAAAGGATTTTATTTCTCCTTCACTTACGAAGCTTAGTTTGGCTGGATATGAGATTCTGGGTTGAAAGTTCTTTTCTTTAAGGATGTTCAATATTGGCCCCCACTCTCTTCTGGCTTGTAGGGTTTCTGCAGAGAGATCTGCTGTGAGTCTGATTGGCTTCCCTCTGTGGGTGACCTGGCCTTTCGCTCTAGCTGCCCTTAGCATTTTTTCCTTCACTTCAACCCTGGTGAATATGACAATTATGTGCCTTCGGGTTGTTCTTCTTGAGCAATATCTTTGGAGAGTTCTCTGTATTTCTTGAATTTGAAATTTGGACTGCCTTGCTAGGCTTGGGAAGTTCTCCTGGATGATATCCTGGAACATGTTTTCTGGCTTGGATTCATTCTCCCCATCATATTCAGGTACACCGATCAAGCGTAGATGATGTCTTTTCACATAATCCCATATTTCTTGGAGGCTTTGTTCATTTCTTTTCACTCTTTTTTCTCTTGTCTTGCTTTCTCTTTTTATTTCATTGAGTTGATCTTCAATCTCTGATATCCTTTCTTCTCCTTGATCCATCTGGCTATTAAAACTTGTGTTTGCTTCATGTAATTCTTGTGCTGTGTTTTTCAACTCTATCAAGTCATTTATGTTCTTCTCCATCCTGGTTATTCCAATTAGCATTTTGTCTAACTTTCTTTCAAGGTTTTTGGTTTCTTTGCATTGAGTTAGAACATGTTCCTTTAGCTCAGAAATGTTTGTTATTAGCCACCTTCTGAAGCCTGTATTTGTCAATTCATCCCACTCCTTGGTCAAGTTGTGATCCTGTGTTGTTGAGAAGCTGAGATGCCTTGAAGGAGAAGAGGTGTTCTGGTCTTTGATAGTTTCATCTTTTTTGTGCTGTTTTTTTCCCATCTTTGTGGATTTACCTGACTGTGGTGTCAGGGAGCTGCTTGATGAGGTTGCTTGTCTGTCCAGGAAGGGCAGGTTTCTGTAGTTCTCTAATATCACATTCCTATAAAAATTCTGCTGTGCAGTGTCCAGGCACTGCCACTCCTCTGGAGAGAATTCTATGGCCACATCCCTAAATGTCAACGGTTCCATTTCTAGGCTTCCAGGGGATCCTGGTATCTTGGGTGTGGATCTCCAATACCTGCAGATCACAGGGCCACACCAGCTAGGCATCTAGGAGAACAGGACACAGAGAAGTGAAGACGAGACCCAGAGCTGAGGCTACCAAGCTTCTACCTTTTTACATTATTGTTTCTTCTAGAATTTTTTAGTTGTTATTTCTTTTTGCATATTTAGCTTTTATAATTTTTTGATGTTTTAAATATTTTTGTTCTTACTCTAGTTTTTAAATGTTTAATAGTTGTCTGTGTTCCTCTTTATCACTATTATTTATTTAAATTTTTAAAAATTAGTTTATACATCTTCATTTTTTATGTTTCCTTTCTGAACAGTTTGTAATTTTTATATGGGGCTATTTTGCTGTAATATTTTTTATTCATTGTAATTTTTGATTGAGATTTGGACATTTAAAAAAAATCTTCCTGTCACAGTCTTTGTAATGTAGCTTTTTTTTCTGGCATACATTAAAACCTATTGTTTTAGCCAGAGATTCTGATAATTTTTCAGACATGTTCTTAGGATGTATTCTGTCTGAAAATCTGTGTTTATTTTTAGTTAAAGAAATTTATTAGTGTTTCTACTTAATGACCAGTTCTCATTTGCTACATGTGTTTTCTCTCTGTAGTACTGCAGTCTCTCTGCTGCTGTAGCATCTACTTTAGATCTTAGCAGACTCAAACTGTCATTTTTAAAAATGCTATTATAGTAGTCTGCTGTCATGCTGCCAAAAAGACATACCCAAGACTACCTAATTTATAAAGTAAAAAGGTTCAACAGACTCGCTGTTCCACATGGCTGAGGAGGGCTCATAATTGTGGCAGAAAATAAAGGCAAGGCAAAGTGACATCTTACATGGTGGCAGTCAGAGAAGGGGTATGGGCAGAGGAACTCTCCTTTTATAAAAACTATCAGATTTTGTGAGACTCCTTAACTATCACAAGAACAACATAGGATATACCTGTACCCCTAATTCAATTACTTCCCACCAGGTTTCTTCCACAACTAGTGAGAACTATGAAAGCTACAATTCAAAATGAGGTTTAAGTGGAAATACAGAACCAAACCATATTAGCCACCCCTTTCTTTAGTGTTTAATGCCATGGAAGACAGAAACCAGTTTGTGAAAAGACTCTTAGAAGCTAGAAATAGAAACGTATGTGTCACTGTTTTTCTGGGGTTTATTTAATTTATTTATTTGTTTTGGTAAAATTGAAAAACAGAAGTTGGCAGTTTACTTCTAAAGGCACTACATTCTGTTTTGGAAGCAGGAAGATCTCTGCTGGATAAGTGTAACAGAATTATTTTTCTATGTGATTCTTTGCATTGGGCTTACCTGGGGTACTGCACACAAGTAACTTATTTATAAATCTTCCACAAACGTGTTTTGGTCAGTATGCTTTTGTTGAATTTAGATGTCTATAAAGGAAGTAGGGTCTGTGGTACTTTTCTATGCCATCTTGCTCATGCAGTTTGTATATTTTATATGTTAGATGTATAGAGTATACAAATCTTAGTCTAGCAAGTGAAGTAATTTATTTTTATTTTCTTTTCAGCTATGTGTTCTTATTTTGCACAAGACCTTTGGCCAGAGCAGGACATAAAAAAATCATTTCAAAAAGTGATAATGAGAAGGTATGGAAACTGTGGGGATGAAAATTTACCACCAAGAAAAGAGTGTGAAAGTGTGCATGATTGTAAAATGCACAAAAAAGTTTATAATAAACTTCACAAATGTTTGGCAGCTACCCAGAGCAAAGCATTTCTATGTTATAAATATGTAAAAGTCTTTCATATATTTTTGTATTCAAATAAATCTAAGATAAGATGTGCTAAAAAGAATGCTTATAAATGTGAAAAATGTGACAAATCATTTTGCATGTTTTTACATCTAATTCAACATAAAAGAATTCATACTAGAGTGAATTCCTACAAATGTGAAGAATGTGGCAAAGCTTTTAACTCTTCCTCACACCTTAGTAGACATAAGATAATTCATTCTGGAAAGAAACCTTACAAATGCAAAAAATGTGGCAAAGCTTTTAAGTGGTTATCAATCCTTACTACACATGAGAGAATTCATAGTGGAGAGAAACCCTACAAATGTGAAGAATGTGGCAAAGCTTTTAACTATTCCTCAAACTTTACTAAACATAAGAGAATTCATAGTGGAGAGAAATCCTACAAATGTGAAGAATGTGGCAAGGCTTTTAACCTGTCCTCACACCTTACTACACATAAGAGAATTCACAGTGGAGAGAAACCCTACAAATGTGAAGAATGTGGCAAAGCTTTTAGCCGGTCTTCAAACTGTACTAAACATAAGAGAATACATAGTGGAGAGAAACCCTGCAAATGTGACGAATGTGGCAAAGCTTTTAACTCTTCCTCACACCTTAGTAGACATAAGATAATTCATTCTGGAAAGAAACCTTACAAATGCAAAAAATGTGGCAAAGCTTTTAAGTGGTTATCAATCCTTACTACACATGAGAGAATTCATAGTGGAGAGAAACCCTACAAATGTAAAGAATGTGGCAAAGCTTTTAATTCTTCCTCACACCTTAGTAGACATAAGATAATTCATTCTGGAAAGAAACCGTACAAATGTAAGGAATGTGGCAAAGCTTTTAAGTGGTTATCAATCCTTACTACACATGAGAGAATTCATAGTGGAGAGAAACCCTACAAATGTGAAGAATGTGGCAAAGCTTTTAACTCTTCCTCAAACTTTACTAAACATAAGAGAATTCATAGTGGAGAGAAATCCTACAAATGTGAAGAATGTGGCAAGGCTTTTAACCTGTCCTCACACCTTACTACACATAAGAGAATTCACAGTGGAGAGAAACCCTACAAATGTGAAGAATGTGGCAAAGCTTTTAGCCGGTCTTCAAACCGTACTAAACATAAGAGAATACATAGTGGAGAGAAACCCTGCAAATGTGAAGAATGTGGCAAAGCTTTTAACTCTTCCTCACACCTTACTAATCATAAGAGAATTCATAGTGGAGAGAACCCCTACAAATGTGAAGAATGTGGCAAAGCTTTTAACTGGTCCTCAAACCTTACTAAACATAAGAGAATTCATAGTGGAGAGAAACCCTACAAATGTGGAGAATGTGGCAAAGCTTTTAACTCTTCCTCACACCTTACTAAACATAAGAGAATTCATAGTGGAGAGAAACCCTACAAATGTGAAGAATGTGGCAAAGCTTTTAACTGGTCCTCAAACCTTACTAAACATAAGAGAATTCATAGTGGAGAGAAACCCTACAAATGTGAAGAATGTGGCAAAGCTTTTAACATTTTGTCAACCCTTACCACACATAAGAGAATTCATAGTGGAGAGAAACCCTACAAATGTGAAGAATGTGGCAAAGCTTTTAAGTGGTTATCAACCCTTACCACACATAAGAGAATTCATAGTGGAGAGAAACCCTACAAATGTGAAGAATGTGACAGAGCTTTTAACTCTTCCTCAAACTTTACTAAACATAAGAGAATTCATAGTGGAGAGAACCCCTTCAAATGAGAAGAGTGTGGAGAAGCTTTTATCCATTTCTCAAACTTTACTAAGCATTAGACAATTAATAATGAAGGGAAATCCTGCAAATGTTAACAGTGTGGCAAAGGCATTTGTGTATTCTTAACCTTTACTGAACATAAGAATCTGTGCTGAAAAGAAACCCTATACAAATGTGAAGAATGTGGCAAAGGCTTTTGTGAATCCTCAGCACTTAGTAAACATAAAATAATTCATAGTACAGCATGTGGGAAAGCTTTTTAGCAGCCCTCAACCCTTACTAACCATGAGCAACTTCATACTGGAGAGAAACCTGATACTTTTGAAAAATGTGGAAAAGTTTTTAACTAGTTCTTACACCTTACAGAACATGAAATGATACATAATGGATGGAAATTACTAACGTTAAGAATGTGACAAAGCCCTTAGTATATTGCTAACCCTTACTAAACATAAGGTAATTCATACTGGAGAGAATTTCAGCAAATGTGAAAAGTGTGACAAAGACTTTAACAAGCTCTCAACATTTATTACACACAATTCATACTGGAGAGAAACCCTACTAGCATAAAGAATGTGTCAAAGCCTTTTACAACTCCTTAATTCTTAGCAGACATAATTTATATTGGAGAGAAACTCTACAAACCTAAAAGTTGGGACAATGCTTTTCACATTATAAAATAAATCATAATTTCTGGGTCCTAGACCCCAGAAATGTGAAGAATGTGTCAAAGCCTTTAAATGGTTGTCACTCTTGATTGTTGGTAAGATAATTCACGCTGTAGAAAACTACATGTTTTAAAAATGTGACTAAACTATTAACTAGTATTCACATTTTATTGCATGAGAAAGCATTTATACTAGAGAAAAATTCTACAAATATAAAAAAAGGTGGAAAAGCCGTTGATACCTGCTCATATGTTACTCAACATCCAAGAGTTTATACTTGAAACCATTGCAAGTGCAATTACTGTCAAAATAGCTTTCAGAAAATATGTCATTAAAGTGAAGAAGAGCATTCATTCTGAAGACAAACATTACAAGTATAAAGACAATTGTAGTGCCATTACTTGTTTCATAGATTTAGTATTAGAAAAAATGCCTGAAGCAGTTTCTCAAAACTTATTCAACATCAGGGAATTTATATTATATTGGAGAAAAACCTAATAAAAGTAATGAGATTAACTAAAGGATTGTTCAAAAATGACAGCTAAGAAAACACCAGAGAGTTCATCATAAAATATATGTTTACAGATGCAGTAACTATGAAAACAACATTTACTTCAAAATTAAGTCTATGTCAACATCAGTAATTCACAGTAGAAATAACTAAGAGACTGACTCTTCAGGTATTACACTAAATTGGAGTGTTGAGTGTAGAAAATTATCCAAAACTAAAGTTGTTAGATAAATTATTTCTATATAACTTTAACAAAAGAGAATTGGAGAGTTGTAGTTGCATTCAAAGGATACTTTTTTCATTTAAAAACTTCACAGATTTATTTTTGAAAAGTGAATAATCAACTCACAATTTACTTCATGTGATATATTGTATTTTTATGGTCATAATAAAAAGTATATAGAAGTATAAATAAAATTCATATATTTCTATGTCTCAGATATTTTTAAAAATTTGTTATATGTTTTACTTTGAACATGTGAACTGCCTACACATACAGTGTTTTCATTCACATACAGTTAAATATATACATGTTAGTCTAATGAAATGTCTTAAGTGTAATAGAATTGTAGAGTGTGTTTTTTTTGTGTATGAGTTTTACCAATTTTCAGAAAAAGAACAATATTGAAACAAAACAAATTAATACAGTGACTAGTTTACTAGAAAACTAAAAACCTCAAGAATGCTGAATGCAAATCTATACTCTTTTTTAATTTAATTCATTATTGCACGGACCCATACTTTTCCTGTTTCTTATAATTAGATTTTTTTTTTTAATTTTTTATTGCATTTTAGGTTTGGGGGTACATGTGCAGAACATGCAAGACAGTTGCATAGGTACACATATGACAGTGTGTTTTGCTTCCTTTCTCCCCTTCACCCACATTTGGCATTTCTCCCCAGGCTATCCCTCTCCACCTCCCCCTCCCCATTTCCCCCCAATAGACCCCAGTGTTTAGTACTCTTCTCTCTGTGTCCATGCGTTCTCATTTTTCATCACCCACCTATGAGTGAGAATATGCGGTGTTTCGTTTTCTGTTCTTGTGTCAGTTTGCTGAGGATGACGTTCTCCAGATTCATCCATGTCCCTACAAATGACACAAACTCATCATTTCTGATTGCTGCGTAATATTCCATGGTGTATATGTGCCACATTTTTCCAATCCAGTCTATCATCAGTGGGCATTTGGGTTGATTCCAAGTCTTTGCTATTGTAAACAGTGCTGCAATGAACATTCGTGTACATGTGTCCTTATAGTAGAACGACTTATAGCCTTTTGGATATATACCCAGTAATGGGTTTGCTGGGTCAAATGGAATTTCTATTTCTAAGGCCTTGAGGAATCGCCACACTGTCTTCCACAATGGTTGAACTAATTTACAGTCCCACCAACAGTGTAAAAGTGTTCCTTTTTCTCCACATCCTCTCCAGCATTTGTTGTCACCAGATTTTTTAATGATCGCCATTCTAACTGGTGTGAGATGGTATCTCAATGTGGTTTTGATTTGCATCTCTCTGATGACCAGTGACGATGAGCATTTTTTCATATGATTGTTGGCCTCATATATGTCTTCTTTCATAAAGTGTCTGTTCATATCCTTTGCCCACTTTTGAATGGGCTTGTTTCTTTTTTACAGTATAAGAAGTATTCATTGTAAGCCAGTCAGTAGATAATTTTCATAAAATGTAGTAGGGCACACAAAATAATTTTTAGATGTAATTTCCTAATTCATGTTTTTTTGTTGGTTTTGTTTTGTTTTTAGAGCATTTTATTGTTTTCAGTAGGAGAAATCTCTATAAGCCTACTCTTCTTTAGTTATTGTTCCTTTAACTTTTTATAATTGGCATAAGTAAATTTATCCTTTAAGCCAATTTATTCAGGGAATTACTTGGGAGGCTTCATGAATTATAAGGATTTTAGGTTTTTCTTTCTGGGTTTTTTTTTTTTTTTTTTTTTTGAGCTGGAGTCTCGATCTGTCACCCAGGGTGAAGGGCAGTGGCTCAATTTCAGCTGATTGCAACCTCCACCTCCTTAGTTCAAGAAATTCTTGTCTCAGCCTCCCAAGTAGTTGGGATTAAAAGTGCCTGCCGTGACGCCAACCTAATATTTGTATTTTTAGTGGAGACAGCGTTTCACAATGTTGGACAAGCTGATCTTGAACTCCTTACCTAATTGATCCAACCCTCAGCCTCCGGAAGTGCTGGGATTACAGGTGCGAGCCACTGTACCCAGTGAAAATGTTTTCATATATAAATGTAGCAAACAAACATGATACTGCTTCTCATGTAACAGATGCTCCATAATAAGCCATAAGTATTTTTGCTGGAGTTAGCTTGCCAGTTCAAGTCAGATATGGAAAATATCAGTGGTAAAGAAATAATGTTGATTCATCATGTGGAGAGAACATTTTCTCCAGGCTGCAAAGCAGATTCTTGCTGAATTTAAAGAGAAATTCTGCTTTTTTTTTTTCTGATTATCTTCACTTTTGTTTGTCTTCTTATGTGTATTTTAACTAAATATGAATCACAGACCTTCTTTTTCTGTGTTATGGCTACAGTTTCCTCACTTTCATTTTTATGTCATGTCATTTCACATAGTACTTTGTAGATTTTGATGAGAAAATTGTTTCTGTTTTAGTTTTTTTTTTTTTACCTCGAGATGGAGTATTGCTCTTGTTGTCCATGCTGGAGTGCAAGGGCATGATCTCTGCTCATCACAACTTCGGCCTCCTGGGTTTTTCTTCTACCGTGGCCTCCCAAGTAGCTGGGATTGTATGCATGCGCCAAAACACCCAGCTAATTTTGCATTTTTAGCAGAGGTGGGGTTTTTCCATGTTGGTCAGGCTGGTCTCAAACTCCCGAAATCAGGTGATTCACCCACCTTGGTCTCTTAAAGTGGTGAGATTACAGAAATGATACATTGTGCCTGGCCTGAAACTTTTAATGCGGGAAAAGTTGGTTTTAACTAGAGAGTTTGCTTGTCAATATAACTTTGACATCAGATAAAGATGAAGGGTATACACTATCCACAGGGGGAGAGAACTAAAGTATATAGCATTTTTTTGTAAAGGAAAATTTTAAAAGATTCTTACAGAAAGTGTGTCAAATATAATATATATCCTTGTAATTAAATTTCTAACAGTTAATGGTAAAAAAATTTTTAAGTTTTATGATATACTTATGGCACAACTTATGTTTTTATGCAAAATCTCTATATTTAAGCGTGAATGTTACAGATTGCCAAATAATAAAATAACCTGTAGATTTTAAATTTGAATTTTTATATTGATATTATAATTTGAAGAAATTTCTCACTGTTATTTTATATCTTTTTTGGGGGGGTGAAGTTTAGCATACAGTTTTTATACTTAGTCACCTATCTGTAGCCAACTCCTTGGTTGTTTTCTCTGGAAAATATGTGGCGATTATGCTAGTTTTTGAATTAAAATATTTTCTGTTATTCTGCATGCAAATTTGTTTGGTATGTTCACAGAGTGGCCAGACATGGGACCACCAGCAGTCATGGGATCTGCCTTTTTACTGTCTTTTATATCATTAGCATTAGCACCAGAAACTTCAGGTGCCCCAAACTTAACGTTAAAGTCCTAAAGTAAATCGGCTTCTTCCAGGCACTGTGCAGGGTCCAAGGCATGATGTTAAGTATTGAAGTTTCAATGGTTATAATTCACAAATGACAGAATAGCACAAAGCTATATATTGTTAATACTATTCAGTCAAGTTTATGACAAATACAGATCACATTTGAAATATTGTTAACATTCTATAAAGTTCTAAAAACACGTTTTTTAACTTGACATGAAATGGGTATTTTTTTAAAGTATGATATTTTGAAGTATATATACATTGTCGAATACTTAGCCCTGTGTAATAAATGAGTTAACTAACAGAGTTCGCTTTTTGTGGTGAGACCACATGGCATTGTCTTAGCATTTTTCAAAAATACATATACATTTTTATGAACTATAGTCATCAAGCTGTACCATAAATCTCTTGAAATTATTTTTTTCTATACAACTAAAATTATGTATTCTTTAACAGACATTTTTCCAACCTCCCTTTTCTTCTTGGCACCTGGTGGTCACCATGTTACTCTGTACTTCAGTGAGATTAAGTTTTTTAAGAATACATTTGTAAGTGGAATCATGAGATACTGGTGTTTCTGTGACTGGCTTATTTCAATAAATATAATGTCTTCCCGGTTAATCCATGTGACTGAAAATAATAGACTTATTTTAAAAAATAAAAAATATTCCATTTTGTATATATAGCATATAGTATTCATTTATGTATTAGATGTTGAACTCTTGATGCCATATTGGGTTATTACAGAGTGCTGCAAACAACAGAGAAGTGCAAGTATTTCTTCATTCTCATTTTGAATATATATCTGAAAATGCAATTGCTGGAGTATATGGTAGTTCAATTTTAATTTTTCTCCGAAATTTTTATTTTGTTTTTTTTATGATTGTCCTCATTTACATCCAAACCAACAGTGTGTAAGCATTTCCTTTACATCTTTACCAATGTTTTCTTTCTGTTTTACCTAAATATCTCATAGGTATTTCTTTTTGTTGTAGTATTTTTGTTTTTCTCATAGGTAAATTTTGTAAATATCTCATAGGTATTTTTTGTTTGTCTTTCTCTGACAATAATTGACATTGAGCATTTTTTAGTTTATCTCTTGGCCATGTCTTTTCTTGAAAAATATTTAAGCCTGGGCTTGGCGTGGTGGCTCATGCCTGTAATCCCAGCACTTTGGGAGGCAAAGGTGGATGGATCACTTGAGGTCAGGAGTTTGAGACTAGCCTGGCCAACACAGCAAAACCCCATCTCTACTAAAAATACAAGAGTTAGTCAGGCATGGTGATGCATGCCTATAATCCTACCTACTAGCAGGGGCTGAAGCAGGAGGATGACTTGAGGAGGTGTAGGTTGCAGTGAGCTGAGATTGTGCTGCTGTACTGCAGCCTGGTCAACAGAGTGAGACTCTATCCGAAAAAAAAAAAAAAAAAAGCCTGCTTCTCATAGTTATTTGTTTTTTGTTTTGTAGTAATTTGAGTTTCTTGCATATTGTTTATATTATCCTCTTGTCACACACATAATTTGCAAATATTTTCTCCCATTGTTCAGTTGTCTCATAATGTTGATTGTATCAGATTCTGTGCAGCAGGTTTTTACTTTGAAATTATCTGACTCATCCATTTTTTCTTTTGTTCCTGGGATTTTTGAGGTTGAATTTAAAAATTCACTTTCCAGACCAATGTTATAAGGCTTTTGGTCTATATTTTTTGTAGTAGTTTCAGAGTTTCCAGCCTTCCATTTAAGTAACTAATTTATTTTAAATTCTAAGATGAG